CCATTCATATGATACCAGGTCTTCAACTGTAAGAAACTTTATTTATGAAAGCCACACTACTTTAGTAAGGAGGACATCTTTTATTTATAATGGGCCATACATATGGAACAATTTAACCTTTAAACCTAAATTAACACACACCTTAAAATCTTTTAAAAGAAAATATAAACAATCCCTACCGTAATAGATAAGTATGCATCTTAGTTCTTCATTTATCCTCTATTAAATTGTGGATAAATATTAAAAATACCATCCTCCTCATTTCATTTTATTCTTTTCTTCCTGAATTACTCAATATATTTTACTTGTTACATCCAGCAACATTTCTCTACCTTTATTATCCGTTGTTATTATTTTTTCTGTTTGTTTTCTTATTACTTATATAATCACTAGCCATTCACTAATTCAGTACCGGGTATATGTTTATTTGGAGGATCAGACATAAAGCCTTTCTGGCTAATTGTTTCCTCCACACTGCACACAATGAATATTCACTCAATCTACAACAGTATTTAAATTTATATTCTTATCCTCATACTATGAAATTCTATTTGGATCGTGTTACTGTTATCTTACATGTAAGTTAATGAATGAACCATTGAATTATTATAATATTATGTTAATCTTTAAATATCTTGTTCATTTATGTGTGAAACAATAAAACTGAAACTGAAACTAAAAACGATCTGTTTGCGGAAGCTTAAATGAACTTATTAGTAAGCCTTAGTACAAATGACAAGATTAAATTGTGTATACTACGTTTTGGCTTCACATGTAGCCTAATAAACAAAGACCTATCTTTGTACTTCACTTATGATAAAACTCCCTTCATGCCTCATGGTAATGCAGTATGCGGCAATGGATAAAATGCATCTTGGTCCTCGCATGGAAATTGGCAATGGTTGGAGCACAGTGTCCGTAAGTTATTTTTATCAATGATTTTTACAGCACTTACAGTATTCGATGTTTATCAAATAATACCAAATATATGATATATAATATAATATATAACATAATACGAGCATAAGTCTTAGCTGACTTAAATATATCCAGCTAAATGTAAGGCAAAAAGAAACTCCGTATGTTAATATATTCATATGAGCTGTGTTGGTCAGTAAGTCAACTACTTGCATCTTCATTGTATTTTATATGCACTGTAAAAAATGTCAGTAATTTTACGCTTACCGTAATTAAATTTACTGTAAAAAATAAGGGTCACTACCGTGTGATTGTATTTTTACGGTATTTTTTATATAATAATACGATAGATTGGTGTTTTGTTGTAAATTTCCGGTAACATATCGTTTTTCTACAGGTTAAAAATCGTCCGTGTATTTCGACGGAATTTTTATGTAAATATACGGTGAATTTGTAAATTCAATATGTTTGGCGGTTAAATTACGTCGTCATATTACTGTTTTCCGTAATTTAACAGGTCAAAATCAACATTTACGTTAATTAACGTTGGAGTTCGTAATGTTCATTTATAAACTGGCGTAATTTTACAGTACAAAATAT